ACTACAAAAGAAACAAAAAATCAAGGAGAAGATCCATATTGGTTAGTAAAAGAATCTTTTGAACTGAAAACAACAAAAAGATTGCAGTATTATGTTGTGATATGATCATTAGGTGAAAGATTAGAAAAAATATCATATTATAGAGGAACTTAAATATAATGGTTGTAAAAAGTTATTTTAGAAACATAGATAATAGACAAGAAATTAATAAAAATTAATAAGTGTGAATATTTATTTTTTGTAAAAAATACTTCTATTTACTTTGAAGAGCCATAAATGAGGCAAATCAAAATAAATAAGAGAAATAATTAATATAAAAATCTTTAAGAAGGAATTAATAATAATTTTTAGCAAAAATTACCTTAAGAAACTAAGAATTGATATTCAAAGAAGACATGTTATGAACTTGAGAAAAAATCAAATCTTGAGGCCAAAAACCACGTACCTATGGTGGTTTTGGGTTCTTTAGTTGATTAGAAAGCAATATTTAATAGAAAACTTGTGAAAGGTCCTTTGGACATTAATTTTAAGTGATTTAAGTTTGTATTCACTTTCTTAAGGCTTTTCAAAGTAAAAAATATTTTTGAAATGACTTTAGATTTTAAAAAATATAAAGAGTTTTTATTTTAAAAAATTGTACAAGATTGATAAATGATCTATAGGTTAAATTTTGTGATTATGTGCTGTGAGGCCAAATTTCACCACTTGATGAAACCTATGCCACACAACAAGTCCAAGAGGTGGAATTGGACACCTCCCAATTGTATAATTGTTAGATTAATTTAAATCTTTATATTAAAAATTTAATTAGTTTTAAGCCTTCCAAGCAATGGTTACCAACATTAAATTAACATGTTAAATGAAATTTATTATGCAACACAATAAAAATAATTAACTAAGTTATTACTATTAATTGACCATAAGAATAAAAACTTAAGTTTGAATTAAAAGCTAAGTTAAAAGTTAAGTTAAAAAAAAGTTAAAGTTAAAAATTAAGATTAAAAGGTTAAGTTAAAAGTTAAGATTAAAGGTTAAGTAAAAAATGTAAGTTAAAAGTTAAGTTTAAAGGTTAAGTGAAAAGTGAAAAGTGAAAAAGTTCAGTTTAAAAGTAAAAAGTAAAAGTAAAAATTAAAAGTTAAAGTGAGAATATTAAAGGTTAAAAGTTAAAATTAAAATTTATTAGCCAAAAAGTGAAATTTGGAGCTTACCAGTCACTGTGAAGATGATAGTAAAAATAGCGTGAGAGAGGTGAAAGCGAAGGTACCTTGACAACACGTAAGGATTGAAGGCAGCAACCCCCTTCTACTCCAAAATTTGCCAAAATTTGTAATCAGATTCAATTTGAATGATTTTTAGCTTATTGCAAGGCTGACTTGAAGACGCTTTTGATCCAACGATCTTTGTTGCAATCTAATGATCTAGTCATGAGAATTCCTCCTTTGAAGTTGAGTGATCGAAACTACTGTGGTGACCAACCCTCTTCACTTAGAAATTCACTAGAAATTCAGAATATTTTCGAATTCAACAAAACTTGTGCTTTTCAGAGCTTAGCTTATAAATCTTGATGCTCCCAAAATTTCAAAAAAATCCAATCACCAGGAACTGAGAAATGCCTTTCCAAACTTGATTGATTCAAACTGCAAAGATAGCCGACTCCTTCAAACTCAAAAATTCACCAAAAATTCCTTCTTACTCCAAATCAAGCAAGTCTTATTTTGTTGAAAAGCTAAAAACAAAAGCTACAACTACTCAAAATATCACATTGAAAAAACAGAAATTGAGTGACTAATTGAAGAAAATCCGAAGCCCTTGAAACCCTTGGGGTATTTGGAAGGCCGAGGAGATATCTACCTCAATGAAACATATTTTAAAAATTAATGACCATCCTTCACAATGAAAAATCCATACATACACAATCACAAGGCTCAAAATGAGAATTAAAATCTAAATAAAATTAAGATTAGGGTTTCAGCCAAATTTTGGCATGGCTCCGTCCTTCATCCAAAAGAGGAGAGAGAGGGCTTGGAAAACCAAGCCTCTCTTATACAATTGAGTGGAGGCTTGTAGAAAGGTGGCTACATCTCCACCCTTGATTTTTATGATCCCTAATCTAGATCTATGGCCTTCATTCATCCAAGAGCCAATCTCGTTACCAAGGCTGATGGCTCTTGTAAGTGGTCAAGAAAGCATTTTTTTTGTAAATCTAACTTCACTACTGTGTTCAAAACATCTTTTTAAGCTAAGATCGACTACTCACATGCTCAACTATAATTTTCATGGAAGTTTTTCCTTACAAGGATCTTGGCAATTTTTGTGAAATTCTTCAAAATGAGAATTTCATTGCTTCTCTTGTATTTTGAAGGAGAGGTTGCTGATCTTGTTTTCTTCACTCCACGAGGTAAATCCGGTGCCACCATTGCATTAAAAAGACTCCCATTAAGTAGAAGAACCACCATGCTGCTTAAATTTGTCGAATTTGGAGGAAAATCCAAAATTACCATTGCTAACTTCTCTAAATCTTTTAGAGAATTATAATTCCAACTCCTAAATCATGTGAATGATTATAGATGCATTCATAGGCTTTTAGTCAACCCTTATAGTAATGATTAACAACCTCTAAATTATTAAACTAACTAAGTTGCTATTCTAATTTTCTAACTCTTATCACTTTAGTCCTAATTAACCTAATTCAAGGAATTAAGCTATGATTTATACCATCAAAGGTTGTAATCCTAAAAATTCTATAAAACTAAATTCTACTTATATAAATCCTAATCTAACATGTTTAATTATCATAAAATAGGAAAATAATAAAAATTTAAATTTTAGAGTATAATTGAGAGCTTACATGTGCTTAGTATTTTTTTTATATTTATGTTGTAAGTTTGAACTTGATCTAAAAATTTCTTTAAAGATTGCTAGAATTCAAACATACTTGGATCTTAGGAATTAGAGTTTAGAAGATAAGTAAGTATTTCTAATATATACAATAATTTATAAATTAGATTAAGTTAAAAAAAACTCACAATAGTAGTTGACTTGATTTTAATAACTTTGCAAAGTCTGATAGTAATGAATTTGTACAATTTAAAGATATTAGCACTAGAAGATGGCACCAAGATTGGAGAAGGAGGCTAATCAATACCTAAGTAGATTTTAGGGTTTATCTTCTACTTGGTAAGTTTAATCTTCTTCAAATTGATTGTACTTATTTTCAACTTAGTAATTAAAAGAAGTTCAAATTTTGAGTTGAAATTAATGATTAGATTATTAATTATTAAAGTTATAATTTTCTATAGGATTTGTTATGAATTTTTTTAAAACTTAAGGTTTGATCAAGATTTGATTTAGATTTGGTTTAGAATTTTATTAGAATTTTTTTAGGATTTAGTTAGGATTCGATTAAAATTTGGTTTAAAATTAGGATTTGGTTTAGGATTTAGGATTTGGTTAGGATTTATTTAAGATTTTTATTTTTGATATTTTTTTAGGATTTATATTTTATTATTATATATATATATTTTTTAAGGTTAATTTATAATTTTTTTAAGCCTTCTTTTAAATTTGATTAAAATTTGATTACCATTAATAAGATTTAATTGGAATTTATTTAAGATTCTATTAGAGTATTAGATCCTTGTTGTTGCAATTTCTATTTCACCTTCTATAGCTAGGTACTTGATGCATTTTCAAGCAAAATTCATTGAAATGACAACAAAGGCAAAGAAGTTGTATGCATCAAATTTCTCTTTTGTCACTCCTCCATAGCTACCAATCTATGAGCTAGTAAGTCCATTATTAGCCTATTGTGCCTATAAATGAGGAATTAATGGAATCTATACAAAATTAGAAGGCACTCTAGGTAGTTGCACATTGTACTTATGTTGTAATGGTTGATGAGGGCTATTAAATTTTAAAGGAGTGGAAGAACTTGCATATTGTAAGAGGGTTGTATAGCTAAGCAACAAGCTTCTTCTTGAAGCAAGAGGACACTAAATAAAAATGGCAAGCATTGATTGCACTATTTGTAATATTGAAGCTCTAAACCTTCTATCACTATTACCAAAAAGTGTTGAAGAGGACCCACCAATTTCTTCATGACACCTAAATTAGGCCCCAATTACACTTTAAAAAAAATAGTTGTGATATCTTATCAGATTGAAGGATAGATTTGATATTATCAAGAATACATGGATATTCTTGATATTTCAACATATATCAAGAATATATGTGATATTTTTCTAATTTAAATAAACATTTTTAAAAAATATAAAAAATATGAAGATAAGTTTTTTTAAAAAATATATTAAAATACATGAAGGATTTTTTCTACCTAAATGGAGATAGAAGATCTTGGAACTTTAAAATTTATATGGATGTAAGTTAAAAAAATACAAATGTTTCTCTCTTTTATATTTTTAAATTTGAAGCAAATCATGAAGAAGATGTATTCTATGTTAGACTATGCAAAACATTCTTGCACTGATATTACATCTTTTAAAAACATTGCAATGAACACATAAGTCTTTCCTAAGTTATAGTTTAGTACATTAAATTTACATTTCAAAAAAAGGAAAAGAAAAAGAACATATTAACAATGATGTCATCTTGATATTTTCTATAAAAAAGTGAAAGTGGTGAACAAAAAAACTGAAAATGACTATGACCGCAATCAGAGACAAAAGACAAAAAAGAAATAAAAGAAAATTACCTACACCTAACTAAAAGAAGGCCAGACAACCACACCAACTTGGTGAAGAAGAAGAAGAAGAAGAAGCATAGGGAATTCAGTCTAGAATGCAGTGAGAATACAAGGGTACACTTGTTGGGGAGGCAGGGAATGAAGACACAAAGCTGACAAAAGGGGCACAAAGGGAGAGAGAGAGAGAGGCAAGAATGAGGAACAGTAGCAGGGAGAGGAAAGGAAAGGAAAGGAAAGGGAGGGTGAGTGAGTGAGAGTGAGGCTGGGGACATGGTAACTCCCCCACCGCCACTCGCGACCCAGTTTTTTTACACACTTCTTTCGTGAGTTGGGCGTAGCGACATCACCGCTGCCATGTCTCGGAGCGCGGGCTGCCCCTCTCTACGATGTCCCCGCTTCGAGGTCCAAGTCGTGATCTAGGAAATAAAAAGACGGGGATACAGCACCATACACAGACAGGTCGATGCCCTCTCACCCATACTCCGTTCTGCTTGAGCTATTACCGACCAGTCAGCTAGCCAGCCAGAGAGCCTATTCCATCCAACCATCTTCACCTTCGCCATCTTCTGGAACGTCATCGCCCCATCCCGTGGTACCACTGCGGTGCATGTAAATGGAGTACTTAGCATTCTTACTCACAGTTGTCGCTCTCAGCTTGACAAATGCGCTAAGCCTCTGTCGCTGGACACCTATCGTTGTTTGATTTTCGTGTTTTTGTTGTGTTAGGTTTTTGGGGTTGCAAGGCACTTTCAAGCAAGTGGAGCTGGATGCCTACGTTCAGAATAGTGAATCACCACTATTTGCAACTGGTTCAAATTTCAGATTAGTGCCGTCGGAACGGAACTTGGAAGGTGCATCCTCATAGACAGCTAAAACGCAGGTGCAGGAGGAGGAGCGGAGGGACCGACTGGACGACACGGGTTTTGCCGAAAAACGGCTATTTTCGAGGCAGAGGTGCCTTGCCTTCGGTATTCTCTGTTGTCGACAGAAATTCGCAAGTTTGTAGTTCAACACTATTAACCTAATCAGGAATTTTACAGGCCACGGGGGTAGTTCTGTTGTTTTTATTAAGCATCTAGGCTTCTCTTACAAGCTGATGCTTTTAATTTTGGCAGCTTGTGAATTCAAATCCGAAATGCTTTGATCATCGACGAAGTTGTTCACACCCGAAAGGCTTTCTTCTAGTCGAGGTGATCTGAAGAGAGCTGTCTACGAGTCCTTGTGACACCTCGAAGTATGTCCAATTTGATGACTGAGTTCGATGCTGTTATAGTCGGAGCAGGCATTGCGGGGCTCTACCAGCTCTACCGGCTCCGAAACTTGGGCTTGAGGACCCACGTCCTAGAGGCGGAGAAAGAGGTTGGTGGCACTTGGTATTTAAACAAGTACCCCGGGGCACGATGCGACATTAAAAGTATCATGTACTCGTACTCGTTCTCCCCGGAGCTGGAGCAAGAGTGGAACTGGTCGGAGAATTACTCCAACCAACCAGAGATTCTACGCTACATCAACCATGTCGCAGACCGCTTCGATCTCCGCAAGGATATCACGTTTAACACGCGCGTCACGGGCGCACTCTACAACGAAAGCAGTAAACGCTGGGAGGTTCACACCGATCAGGGGAAAACAATCCGGACGCAATTCCTCATTATGGCAACAGGATGTCTGTCAACGCCAAAGCAACCCGAGATACCGGGCATCGAGAAATTCCAAGGCTCATCGTACTACACGGGCCGCTGGCCTGACAAACCAGTTGATTTCACCGGCAAACGCGTCGCTGTAATCGGCACAGGATCCTCGGCTGTGCAGAGCATCCCTATCATCGCCCAACAAGCATCCCAACTGACAGTTTTCCAACGCTCGGCAGCATGTTGCGTCCCAGGTTTAAATTACAAGCTCACTGCAGATGAAATTGCTGCCTCGAAGGCGAGCTACAGCACATTGCGCAAGGCGCAGCGCGAGTCCCCCGGTGGCTTTGTCGATGAAAGGGGTTCGAAGAGTGCCCTCGAGGATAGCGAGGAAGATCGCCAGGCCAGGTACGAAATGCTCTACCAAAGAGGCACTTTGGATGCTATCATTGTTTGTGCATACAACGACCTCGTGATCAACAAGGAAGCTAATGACACTTTCAGCGAATTCATCCGACAAAAAATTCGTTCAATCGTCAAAGACCCTGTAGTCGCCGATTCGCTTTCCCCACGCGGCTATGCAGTCGGTACCAAGCGTATCTGTCTCGACTACGGATACTACGAGACCTTCAATTTGGACCACGTCCACTTGGTGGACCTAACAAAGACACCGATTCTCGAGATGACGGAGAAAGGCATTCGGACTTCTGAGAAAGATCATGTGTTCGACGCAATCGTGTACGCTACTGGATTCGACGCCATCACTGGCACACTGACACGAATCGGGATACAAGGGAAGAACAAGCTCTTGCTCAAGGACAAGTGGGCCAAGGGGCCACGGACTTACTTGGGAATCGCCATCGCCGAGTTTCCGAACCTCTTCACTATTACGGGACCGTTCAGCCCGAGCGTTTTTACCATCATGACGGTGGCGATTGAGCAGCACGTGGACTGGATCACCGATTGCCTCAAATATCTGCGAGAGCATGGAGTTGAGGAGATCGAGGCTACAGTCGAGGCTGAGGATGCGTGGGTGGAGCATTCCCTTGCGGTTGCGAATATGACCTTGTTTCCGAAAACAGCTTCCTATTACACGGGAGGGAATGTGGAGGGCAAACCGTTTATGCTCTATCCATACGTTGGAGGTTTAGCTAATTATCGCCAAGTTTGTGATGGTGTTGCCGCTAAGGGATACGAGGGATTCAAGCTGAAAACCAAGGGCATTGTTTAATGAATACATGCTTCGCGCAAGCCCCAAATGTATAGAGATAGACTAGGCAGCGATTGAGAACCTCGTTGCAAGCATGCAGCTATACCTCAACTGCATCTGAACTGGACATATTCTGGTCAGTTTCTCTTCCGAAATCCAGCTGTCCCTTCACACTGTTGAGTTGATGATTTCCGAGTTCAATTGTGACACACGATGGAAGTGAGAAGGATAACAAACTTGAACCCATAATCTGGCCTATCCACACCCAAGAGCATGAGAAGAAAGGCTTCCGATGCTGTCCAGGGTTGGAGAGTATGCATCGATGCAGCAACACACAGCTTGCCTTCACGAGGTTTTGTAATAATGCCACAGTAAAAACCATGTTTGTTCACTTCGTCTCTGCACTGTTTCGTCTGACACCATGACGAAGGCTCGCTTTTAGCTTTCCTGCATCACATCGATCCTGTGCTGACGTTCCTATTCACTCCATGTGGCTACAGCTTGGTCTTCAATGGCATCCATTGACACGAAGAAGCGACGGTGTACATATATATCTGCACTCATCCACCACCACGATGCGCTGATACGGACCACAACTTCCATCTCAATGAACCCACAGATATCAAAGTGCCAAATTCATAGGGCACCCTCAACTACTCGTCTTACAATGGGATACGAATGTCCTGCTCGTGACGACACAACTGGACACAACGTAAGACAAGGAACCAACAATATGCAAGCAAAAGTCTACACAACCAACTGAACAAGACAAAGGGACTCCACTGGATCAGGCGTCTGTTTGTCAAGCAAGACGTGACAAAACATGGCGGTCTTACATTCATGGACTAGAATTGATGCCATACAGTGGCAGATCTATCCGGCCATTTCGAATCACCTGCAAGAAAACAGAACATTACAATTTTTGGTTGCGCGTGTAACATGGTTGGTCCCTGACAACAGCCCTGCAACCTACAAACTGTGAATCAAAGGACCTGAAGCAACGATATAGTAGCACAAGTAGCTGTCAGATGACAATGCTTGGTAGCTGTCTGAGCTTTTGTTACGTCGCTCCATAACAGGCAAATATTTCTTAGATTGCCCTTAAATATTGGCAGTGGAGGCTTAAGAATAAAAAGTTTCAATAATAATTATAAATGGGCAATTAAACACGTTTTTAAAAATAATTTGGTAAAAAGAGCCATTTGGATATATTTTTTCATTCATTACCGTGTATCATTTGGATACTTATTCCTCAATGGCCCAACATTAACTCTAGAGACTATTGCTGTTGGATGAGGAAGCTTTTTAGTATCACAAAGGTTTGAACTCCAAAGGTGGTGGTTGAAAGTAGTGACTATGCAACCATTTTACCTTATTTCTCTAGCCTCTTGGCTTCTTTATTTTTCTTTCTCAACTTGTGAGAGTTCTTCTCTCTTTGTCTTTGGATTTCTAATTTACATAGACAAATATATCAAAGCAACATCAAACTTATCCAAAATCCATATATAGATGAAATAATAAAATAATAAAAAAATGTCAAGTCTCAATTTTAGAGACAAGATTTTAAACTTAATCACACAACTAGAAAGCAGACCTATTGAGCCATAGTAAAATAGATACTTAGGAGGTACCTAGGACTAGATGAAAAACAAAAATCACAAGGCTACTTGTTCCAAACATTTTTAATAAGAATTGAGTGCCTTATTTTTCAAAAGTTTCTTTTTGTTTTTTATTTATTTATTATTATTATTATTGAAGATGCAGCCATCCAACCACTATTTTGATCAAACTGGGGTCTATTTATGATATATATTATTCTATTACACTCTACTATGAATTCTTTAGGAACTTGTATCTCAATATGTAGGCATTCAACATTACTCTTTTCTTCATAGATATCATCTTCAAAATCATTTACCATATCTTTTTTAAGAGTACAACACTACACCTTCTAAACCTCCTTATTTAGTACTATAATTGATTACATTAAACCTTTATATGTCCTTTCTGTGAAAAGCCAACAAATAATGAAGAGGGATTGCAATTTAATATTTGCACAAATTCCCCTCATAGATTGCATTCAAGAACAATGTACATTATCTACAAAAGGATTTAGAATCACATACCAAAGTTGGGAAGCTTGAAAATTTTAAGACTTTTTCTACTATGATTTATGCATGAATAGCTCCAACCCATCTTTTAAATAATTTCTTAATGCTTTTTAAGAAGTTTATAGCAAGTTTATAGCTAATTTTAATTTTTAAGAAGTTTATAGCAAGTTGTTTTTCAACAACATAATGTCTTAGCTATAAAAAATTAAAATTAAAATTAAAAGATTATTTTTAAATTTATAATGAATACGAATCTTTTTTTAATTAGTAGAGTTTTTTTAATATATTTAAATTTATTTAAATTTATATTAATTTTTTGTATTACTTATAAAAATATTAAATTCAATTAGATTATCATTTTTATTGTGTAAGATATGTGGTTTCTTTAGACTTACTGAATGTATCATTTTTGTTTCAAAATTTTTATATTTACATCTTTAAAGAAACTTTAAATGTACTAAAAATTTAAATAAATTTTTATATTTAAGTAGATATCTCAACTACTTGATAAATATAATTGAATATATATTAATTAAATTATTTTGATGTTTATCAATTCTTTGTATTTATCAATATTTTTATTTTCAATTCCAGAATTTAAATATCTATTTATAATATTATATACTTTAAGTAGATGTTTTTTCTTATTATACAAATTAAAATTAGCTATAAGTCTGTACCGTGTAACAAGTATTAGTATCTTGGCCGTGTAATTCTAGTTGAGCTAATAAACAAAGACTTGTTTATTATTATTATTATTATTATTATGCATAGTGTGTCTAATCTTACAAGGTATTGTTTTGTGCTTGCTTGTAATCTCAAAAGCCCAAGTAATAATATTTTTTAACAAATTGTATTTTTTATTTGATGACATACTTCTACTTTGCAAATGTAATTTTATGTATTTTTCACATAATTTAATATTTTTATTTCTTTTACAAATAAAAGATACAAAAAGAGACTTGTGTATTAGGCCATATATATATATATATATATATATGCATGTCTAATGTCAAATCTATAAATTAAAAGACATATATGTATTCAAATTATACAGTTTTAATAATTTTAAAATAAATTAGATTATTTCCAATTAAAAAGAAAATACAAGTTTTTTCTAGTTTTTCTTGTCTTTAAATTTCATCATTTATAATAAACAAGATGGTGCCCATCTTGGGTATTTAGCATTTAAAAATATTTTGAATGCAAACAATCAGTAACGTGCATTTTATTTTATATTCATTTTTATAAAGCTATAATAATCTACATCGTTAACATGTCATTGAAATATTCATCAAATAAAATTAATGTAAATAAATGATACACTAGAATATTAGTATTAAATATAGAATCTATAGGTATGCATTTATTCATTCCATATTTTAAAACTATTTAACTTTAATTAATTCAAAATTTGATATAAATAAATAATCATTATAATGATTGTAATCACTAAAAATTATTAGTTTTTTTTTGTAAAAAAAATCTATAAAAATTTAATATAAAATACCATAATTTAAGATAAGATCACACCTTTCTATAGCTAAATTATCAATATATAAGATATTTAGAAATACCTTAGCAATCTTAAAAAACCTAAAAAATATTATCACACTATATACAACTTCAAATAAATCTTTAAAAAATCTAATTACACCTCTATAAAATCAAAAGAAATTTTAAAGAAATAAAAATAAAAACCCTAAAAATATATAAGAAAATTCAATGAAATTACAAATAAGTCTTAAATAAATTCTAAATAAATTCTAAATTTATCCATAGATCTACTACAAAATCCATATAATTTACCAAAATTAATTCACTTTTGTATTCAATATAAAACAAAATCACCTAAAACAATCTTAACTTTGCAAAGCTCCTACGAAGTCAATATATATTCAAATCCTTCAAAAGAAAAAAAAAATAATAGAAACCCTATTAAGTTTCTTTTAAAAAAAATACACTTCAATTAATAAAAAGAATGCCATTTGGTAAGAACTCATGGTTATGTGTCTCAAAATCTAGTTTTGACTTTGAATAATGATCAACCTTCTATGGATATTAATCTAAGATTTATCTAAGTACTTTTTGTTAATTGTTATTCTTTACTTCTATATAAAGATGTTTCTAATATTATTATAATATACATAATTTTCTGTTGTTTATGGTCCTACAAAGTAATTAGAAATTATTTTTTTATAAAAAAGATAAGATTAATACTTACTAATTTTTGTACCTCTTTACCTATTATCTATAATTATAAGATAACTTACCACTACATTTTAAAACAAGCTCTTCTATGATATAATACTCTCTTTTCTTGTTTATCTAATAGTTGTGTTCCAACATAACACTATAGATACCTATCTTTTATAAATATAACTTATACTTATAATATCCAATAAGTTATTATATATATATATATATATATATATATATAATTCTTTCATATATAGATTAAGATAATATTATCAACTTTAATATTTAGAAAACCTTTAGATTATATATATATGCACACATACAATATTATGAACCCAATACCTTGAAATTATTAAATCAACATCCTCCAACAATCTTTTTGGCACTCCCCTTAAAAACATTCAAAATCAATCTTTTTAAATATACAATTGGTTTCTATAATTAGTTCCAAATATTTTGTACCTTGTAGATCTCCTTCACCGTCCCTCTATAATTTCAAATGAGGATAAATTATGGCTTCATCTGCTCCTAATGTTCATTCATTCATCAACACTATTTTTATTCATATTTAATTTAATTTATTTTTAATCCAATTTGGTATGGAACTACATTTAATCGACCTGGAGCTGTTTTTGCTACATTTCCGTGCAATTGGCCTTTTTGTGTAAAGATTATGGGTGCATTACAAAACTTCATTTATTTATATTTGTATTATTGTTCTCTTATTAATAGAAACCATAGTTGATGGAGGTTTCAAAAGTTAATCAATATTCTTATTTTTTGTATTAGCTCTCTGTTTTTTTATAAAAACATCTTGAGAAGCATTTGAGATATTCATGCGGTTGAAAAGATTATTACATACATGCTTTTCCATTGTATATTTTGAGATATAAATCAAATTATACAGTGGTAGCTTTTATATATATATATATATATATATATTTATCATGCTTGTTTAAAATTTTAAAAAAAATATATTCTTTCATAAAGATTATCATTTCCTAACTATACAAAACTTTAAAATTGTTTTTTGTTTCAATTGTTTCAAAAAATATTTATGTTAAACCCATTAGGCTGGATTTTAAATAAAAATTTAAAATTATATATACATATATATATATATATATATATATATCTATAGTCACATTATGCCACCTCAATCTCTCTAAACTTGCATTGATTGGAAATCAAAGTACTTTAAAGATGCACTGTCTACATGATATATTAGCTTTACTTATATCTGTTTACTGTTTTCAATTTTTCATGCAATATTCTAAAATGAAAAACCATCTAAAATTAACCTAAAATATTAAATAAATGAATAAATAAAACTTTAATCATTCAAAAAGATATATTTTTTAAAAAAATTGGCTCTACCTCTCCCATAAACAATCCTATTTTAGTCATTCATTTTGTTGGAATAAATCAAATTTAAAATTTGGTATAGAATTGCCTTTATTATTCCAAAATTTTACATTCCATAGTTCTAAACAAGGTTTTCTTAATGGTCTTCTAATACTCTTGAATGTGGTAAAATGACAACAATATTACTTTTTAACAGTTATACACATATGCATTAATGAATATACATACACACACACACATATATATATATATATATATATATACACAAATACATGTCCTTTTCTTTTCAAAGTGATATTGATTAGATATTTTACAATCTAAAAGATATCAAGTATAACTCAAAAAACCATATTTTTATAATATGCAACATTCTTAATGTATTTTTGTACAACACACCTACTGTAATGTTCCAAGATTATGACATTGCTGTTAAATTACCTTACTCTTTCAAACCCTCTTAGAATAGTATCAATTTAAGGCATTATACAAAATTTGTCTGTGAAATTCTCTTCTATATGTACACTGAAAATTA